TCTATATTGTTAATAGTTAAGGTATTGACACTTGTTGAAGATGCGTTAGGTTATTAGGTAAGCCTAGGCTCGGGTGATTTGGGGTTAGAGCTACTAGACATAGCCGTTAATTCCACTCGCTATCCAAGATGATAGTCAAAATGTTACGAGTCGCTTTACAACACGTGAGGTGTCAACGAGCAAACCCGAAGTAGTTTACTTAGTGATATAGTAGTGAGGCTCGATATAGTAGAGACGGAAACCAAGCGTATAGTATACAGCTATACGTAAAGCGAGTAACCGAGAATAACTCGATTATCTTTAACTGAGGTTGACTATATAGAAAGTTATAGACTTGTACTGAGACTATATAGATAAAGTAGATTCGTATAGATCTATGTGGCTCTACTCAGCCTTGGGAGCATAATAGAGTACGCCGCTCTGTATGGCTCTGCTCAGCCTTGGGAGCACAATAGAGTACATCACGTGCCCTGGCTCGTGTCGTCACTCCTTTCGGCAAACCTTCTTCCTTGTTCTTGTGCCGTGGCCGTCCTCCTTGGCCTGTTCGTAACATTATAAATAATTAAGTTATTCTTAGTTAATTACTTTATATATAGCTATATATTATACTCTTAGTTTCTATCTCTACTATATTAAGCCCTATTACTATATTACTAAGTAAATTACTCTAGGTTTGCTTATTAATATCTCACGTATTGTGAAGCGACTCGTAACATAGACCTACCCACTGACTTCCAAGGGTGGTCGCCATTACAGTACGGTCGCTGCGCAGGCAACACCAATGACTAGCCTCTCAACCAGTTAGACTGCATGTCAGGCTGCCCAGATGGGCTACACAGTGGTCGCCATAGCAGTCGCCGCAGATAACAATGACGACCAGCCTCTTAACCGTTGAGGTATTTAATAGAAGGCTTTCGTTTCAGTGGTCTACCAACGCCGGCCAACCATTCGCCATTTGCATTTCCTGCCTCATGTCGGTATTGCTGCTGGTGAAATAGTTGGCCCTCCATAACAGATTCTTTCCATCCCTATGTCGACAAATCATATCCTCACCCTAAGTTCCATAACCTAATGGCTTCGGGGTGTCTTCTCCTAATCTCTTGTCCATACTATTCAACGTAACTCTTAGCAGCTCCTCGGCGGTCGGCTCCAGCCGGAATTCCCGAATTATCCAGCCAAACACTTAATATGTTAGGGGTAAATACTACCGTAATCACCGTGGCGCAGCGTGCCCATAATATAGACTGCACTGTCCTCTCTATTATTGCCCAAGCCGCCCCTGCAAAGTTTCTGTCTTACAGCCCCATACAGTAGGAACAAAGGACACTAACAATCGCGATAGATCTTCCTCCCCAAAGAGGAAGAATAACGAGCACGACACCTATCCTCAAGAGAGAGAAGCCGCTCAAGGTAGAGAAGGAGGAGCCTAACATTCGGGATAGAGCTTCCTCCCCAAAGGGGAAGGATAATGAGTATGATACCTACCCTCAAGAGAGAGAAGCCGAAGGCAGAGAAAAAGGAGCCCCATATTCTGTACTGGCGGCCAAGCTCAACGCATCCCGTTGAGAGTACGCAAAAAAGACATCTTCCCAAAGCACAATCAGAGTTCTCTATGTATTCGGGTAAGCTATACAAGGACGTATATAGGTTCTTATATTCTAAACTAGAACTTAACAGACTCTAATAATCCATCTACGAAATGGCGATGTCGTTATTTGTCACCTTTATCCGCCGATTCCTGCCACAGTCCAGTCTTCGAAATAACCCTACCATTCCTCGAAGTTCCCGCAGTCGATATCCTCACTCGTCAAAATAGGACATGGCTCTCAACATGGGAATGGAATGTATCTGATATTGAGAGTCAACCATTTCACCGGCAGCAATACCAACCGGGAGGTAGGAAACGCAATTTGCAAATGGTTGGCTAGCATTGGCAGACCATTAAGCGAAAGCCTGATTGAAACCCGTTAAATGCCTCGCCGGTTGAGAGCTTGGTCATCATTGTTGCCTGTGCGGCGACCGTAATAGCGACCACCATGCGGCCACCACCGTGGTGGCCATGGTCCCTTGAAAGTTAGGTAGGCTCAGTAATGGGGCGGATGAGAAAGTTGACGTGGTTGCTATACTGTATCGAATGAGCCTTTCTGTTCGAGCTCATCACGCTCGTGTCCGCTCGGCTATCAGCTCCAATGTGGTGACCCACAGAATGATCGCGAAATGTTTTGTTCTTTTAACACCCGCCGTCAGGGTGTCGTTACATCTCAGGTGTACGCGAGCGCAGGAACAGAACCTCCTGGTCGGTAATATGAGACATACCTCTTAGCTCCAGTGTCTGCGGTGACGGAAGGCCAAGGGGCTAGACCTCCAGATATAATGGAGACTAATAAACCGAGCGAAGGCGCCATTATGAGTATATACCCGTGAGGTTGTCCTTAAGGCATAAAGAGAGATTATCTTTGAGAAGAAGTGAGTGGAAAATGATACGGGCCTTGAGACATTGTAGGATTTGAACTATAAGCTACGGGGGTAGACGGCGCAATTAGGCTTAGCCTCTGGGACCTAACTACTGTATAAAAGCTAGATTCCTTAGATATCACGTGGTTGTTATTGCGAGTGTGTGTAAAACGTGATGGGAGCTGAAGATGTCTTTTCAAATTTAGGGGCGCGATCGAACGCCTATATACCTATTCGATACAATCGCTGGTATCCCGATTGTACGCCGAATACCCACCGAACAGGCTTCTTCCGTAGTCATTACAAGGCTGCCAAGCCTTAGAAACCACATGTGGGGTTGAATCTCCCCAGCAAGGCCCTCCAGACGCCTACTTGTAGGTTCTGCCGCTCGTCACAGCTACCCACGAATCAAGATCACCGATGAACCATTTGATTCGAAGAACCTGAAACCATTGACCACCACCTTGCGAGGCTCACCGAATGCAGACGGCACTAAGGTAGACATTCAACGGAGCAGAAGCGACGGAGGTAGGGATCCTCGGCGATGCTATTCCGGGCAGATCTCCAGGACTAATAACTACAGAACCCTTCGTCATCCGTGGTCCAGGGTCATCGTTCTCGTACAGTATTTCTACTGTTGGATACCCTACTTAAGGGAGTAATACACCACTAAACAGTAATTAACTCTCTAAGGAAGGGGGAAGTTTTAGAAAGAAGATGTATCGACTTTCTAAGCTATGACACTATGCTAGCCCTCTAACTAGTTAGGGATAAAGAACAGGATGGACGAGCCAGCGTATATATATTAGAACACCCCTACTAATCACCGACTCCAAATTTCCTTAGAATAGCGAGCGCTTAATCACCGTATTATAGAGGGGCTCAAGTAGCTAGGCTCTTTAATCCCATTAGCTACGTTAACTTCTCTTCTGCCCTATCACTAAGCTTACCCACCGGCTTTCGAGGGTAGTCACTAGAACGGTCACCGCATAGGTAATAACTATAACTAGCCTCTCGACTGGTGAGTCCTTTATAGATCTTCCCGCAACGCCCTATCGCAAAAATAACAACCCCGGATAGCCTTAAGGTAAGGCGTTCGAGGGTAAGGATTATATTGCAGTAGTACCAGCCAACAATTTAAGCCAACAATCCACTTTTTGCGGAGAGGCACGGACCTGTACCACACGATTACCAGCTTTTTAGATGCGTATGGGAAGAGTGACAGTCATGATTAGGATGCCTATTGGTCCTCTCCATGCTGAGACAATATATCCTCCTTTTCGACTCGGTATGGCTTCGTGTTCCTTGCCCCTCGTCCTTCCCCCTGGACGACAGGCTCCAACATCTAGGAGATGCTACTAAACGAAAAGGGATTCGAGTGTTATTTTAACTGGGCCCGTAACAGAAGCTGGGAGTGGGTCCGAGGTTCAAAGAGGCTTTGTACAGACTGGATCGGCACCATCGCCATGTCAAACGAGCGCCCCGCCGAACATGACTAGCAAGCTACGACAAGGCATCTTCTAACCAAACCCCTACAACCATCTAATGAAAAATGAATCTAGTGGCTGGCATCTGTTGAAGGGAGGCGAGGCAGAATGGAGTCCTGAATATGACTAAGGCAGCTCGTCCAAAGAGGAAGTGATATTCTCAACATGGCGTGGCGAGCAAAGAAAAAACAGATCAGTCTATTAATCATCTCAGCCTATCCTGCAAAGTGGTCGCCATAACGGTCGCTGCATAAGCAACAATAACGACTAGCCCCTTAGCGGTGAGGGATTTACGCAAGCTTTTCCTCAGTGCCCAGCCAACCGTTCGCGTTTCCCGCCTTCCAGTCGGAATTGATATCTACGAAACGGTTAGCTCTCGATGATACATACGTTCCCATCCCTTTGAGAATCATGGCCACTATCGATGAGTTGCCTACCTCCTGGGCTCCACAACATGATGGGCTTGGTAGTGTCTAATCGTCATCTCCCATCCACACCGTTCGATGTGAGAGGATATTGTCGTCGAGCTCCAGCCCCCAGAACTCCCGGATCGTCCAGTTAAAAACGTTGTGGTATTCGAACCCTTGATCAACAGACAAATCAGCCAAACCTACCGTCGTATAAGGGATCATCGCACCGATATCAACCATGGCCAAGCCTCTTAAATATTGCTTCCTGCGAGATGGTTGGCTCTCAATGATCAATACAGCCATCTTCGAATTTCACAGGAGACACAGACCCTAGGATTTAGCCGCTAGCGCTTTGGATATATATGGTCGGACACAAATGGCCAGCATCGCTGCCATGCTTAGGCTTCTCCATCCTCAGGCCGAGCACATTATCTCCTATTTCGACGTGTCTGTCTTGGTCACATCTCTACGATCTGAATACCAAGTCGGTCGTGGTGCTGCCACCTTTAATATTGCCTCCCGCGAAATAGACTGCGATCTCTCAAGGATGTGTCGTATCGAGTACGCTCCCCGGGAAAAATGCAGGCAGTGTGGGCTTGTTACTATCACGATTGAACGTGAAAACCACCAACACGAGCCGATATGCCCTATGCCATGGGAAATTGTTCCAGTGGGCGTCGAAGAATTTGGAAAGACTACCCGCTTCCTAGATGGCTGTCAATCCTGTGTAGTATGCTTGCCCATGATGTTAATTAGCACAGGCCTAACTAAGATACCGTTCCAGGCTCAACAACCACTTGCTCCCGACAGGTCTCACGCGATGTTGGCTAACACGACCCCATCGAATCTCCCCAACTTCTATTTGAGATCATCAACTCAACAGGATCTATCTGCCTGCGACCTGAGCCGAGAAAATGGACAGGCAGCCTCACCAGGTGTCACTCCCAATTCTCATAAGAACCAAAACAGCGCCCAGAAAGATAGACCATCGTTTCACGAAACCACGATTCATCATCCAATATTCACCCTTCTTAACGGGAGTCTAATGCCAGAGATCATGGCCTCCATACAGGGGGGATTTTCCTTGGTGGATCGCAAATGGACTTGCTACCGCCGAAATTCCTTTATCGTCCAGTGTTCATTTAGATTCAGGAATGGCATGGTGGATGGGCCATTCTATCTGAATAGGAACGGGTCAGCGGAGTTGATCAAACAATTCGCCGTCTCCATCTCTGCAAGGACCTTTCCGACTGGTAGTGGTGAGAGTGAAGCTTGCCTTGTTCAGCTTACCCCCGAACGAAATAACGCAACAAAATCCGTTCCCAGTCGACGTTTAATTTCACCCTCGCCTAACGATAAGATCTTCGACTCTAATGCCATGGCGAACTCTTCAGGCCTCGAGAATCGCGGCCCCAATTCGATCCCAACTTCACATACCTTTCGGAGGATCCAGTTTCAGAGAGCTACTGCCAAGAACAAGACCCCACTAGCGACGCATCAATATTTCTTGGTAGTGGTCGAGCTTTCTGCCAACATCGGGAGGCAAGCCGATGAGAACTGGATCATGACCGCCACCAAAGAATCCGACCCGATGATAGTACGTGGCCGCCCTTGCGGCCATTGGGGCACAAGCCAGGTCGCGACAGGATCCAGCGAACCAGGAGAATCTGTGGATTAGCAAATACCAATCTACGGTCATTAATGTGAGGTAGAGGAAGATACGGATGAAGTAATGGAGAAAGGGACCACAAGTCATTTCTACGAGAATTCAAAGACATTACGGCAACCAAAGCAAAGTCGCTTACATCCAAAGCATCGACTCCCATCCAATCTAGTACGGCCTTGTTTACTCCAACGAACCACATAATATTCTAGGCATCGAACACCAGGGTACGCTAGTAGATTCAATTAATCAACCCCTGTCACCCGGTCAAGGACGTTGAGATGTGGGTCAGCGGCCATTTCGGTATTACTATTGGTGTTAGGGTGCCTTGATCCAATTTGAACGCCTTGTGTGGCTATCCGAACGCGAATGTTACAACTTGCGCTTGTGGCTGAGCGTCTCTTGCCGGAAATGGTGCCATAATGGCCGTGGAGTGGGATGACTGATCATGGGCTGAAAAGGCCGGTGTGACAAGATGCGCACTTGTATTGCAACCTCGATCGTGCTTCTGGATGGGATTGTACGGCTGAGCGCCACCCCACGCTGAACTCAACCTTGCTTCGCCACTTCTGGGCTGTGACAATGCATGCCACACTCTGTCGTCCGCAGCGACTTCATCGGGCAACGACGGAGCGGTCGCGGAAATCAAGATCCTCATTGGGCAAGAGACCGGTCAGGCAAACTGACTGAGAGCGTTTCTTTGATGTCCTGGATTCGTCCAGCTTACCCAAGCGCAAATCTGAGGGCATAGGTCGTAAGGATCTCGGAATAATCCAGCAGTGCGCCGTACTTAGGGCTTAGAACATCCCATACGTACCATAATAGCCGTTGTATCCTCGAACGGGCGAACACGGTGCCGCACAGCCTCACTCTTGAAGGTAGCACTCCAAGCGTCTCCTTGTTTTACCTCGATCTAGTCTAAGGGGTGAACCGCAATAAAGTCAGCAAGGACTTTCAAACAACCGATCCGGGCGGGGTTTGATTCAGGGTTTTCTCGAAACTCGAACGTCGCCGAATGCCCAAGCATGCTTACCAAAGAATGGTCGGTCGTCCATGTTTAGAAGAGCTAGGGTTTAAGACGCCCGTCCTCGGACGGTAACTGGCCTCGTGTATGGTGGATTTCCACGGGACTCCTCAGCCAGCTACCATTTCATGCAACGACGCTATATGCATGGCTCTACCGGTTCCACAAGCTGAGTTCGTGCTCAAGCGTTCGGCCAGCCTTTTCTGCTTAGTCACCTCGTTGCCAATCAGCGTTTCCCAATTCGCTTCCCCAGCGCAATATGTCGCTTGAGGACCTGGTTGGTCAATTTTTGATGGCAGTTTCTCGCAACGGAAATATATAGACACTTCTAGAAGCTACAATCGTTAGCTTTGTCCACTGCATATCTTTTGCTTCTGGGCGTACGAATCGATCATCTTGGGGGCTCTCGCGTTTCTCTCTTTTAGATTTGCTCACTGGGAGAAGATAGGTCTCGCACAGGCGAAGACATCAGTGAAAGTATTGAAAGAGCCCTCAACCTACACTAGACTCGGCTTTGATACCTAGTTATTCCTCAGTATTCTTATGCTCGGCCGTACTTACTACATACCACCTTAAAGGAGTCAACTCATCTGTCGCAGGTAGATGGTGTGTTAATAAAAGGATTGGACAATATGCTTCGACCATTGGTGACCTCGATCGGAAATATCGAGCCGAACATGGGACCAAAGACTGACCTCCCGCCAACGGATCCCGTCTCCGAGTTGGTACCCGAAGGTCTTCTTTGGAGCGACTCGAATGCAATCGATATATGTACGTACTATACTGGTCGAAGCTCGGAATGACACACTGCTGTGTCTGAAGGCAAAGCGAGATCATGCAGCGTGAGCATTCGTCGGGATGTTCGCCCTGCCAGACGCAGTCTGCACACTCCGAGACCACGATAGCGATACGACCGCTGTAGCAGACCATTCCCACGAAGTGGGCGATGCCATTTTGAAGTGCAATTGGTCAGTGGCTCGGCTAAGGAATTTGGCGATCTGAACAAGAGGGTCTCAGGTAAAGCATCCCGCCGGAAAAAGACTCCGCCGGAAAAAGTATCTAAGTCTTCGGGATCATGAAATTCAGTCAATATCCTTTTTGAGCCACAAACTTGCCATATTGAAACTTGTTAGGATAATTCGTCCATCATCCGATCGCATATATTATGGCGTCTACGTGTGACTCGGTTTCCTTTCTGTTCGTCTTCTAGGCCTTTCCCATAGTCATCTCCTGGCCCCTTCCCTCCACACGTTCAACCGTAGCCTCGATCTTCTCGGTCATCAGCTCCTTCACTCCCTTCAAAAAGGCTATGAAAATCAGAGCCAAGACCACAAATGGAATGATACTCGCCCAGGCAAGTCGGTAAGCATGTGCATATGCCCATTCACTTGCCAGCTTTGCTTCGGAGAGAATAGTTGAATTAAGCCCCTTCACGTTGTCAAACCCAGTGCCGGCTTGGAAAGCTTCAAGCAGAGCTGGCACGCTTGACACTGGCAGGCCTGCTTTTTCTGCAGCTGCGGAAACCTGGGGAGCCCAGGTATTGCCCAATTTGCCGTTTATGATCGCATCCAGAACAGCCGATCCAAATGCACCGCCGATGGCGCGAGCCGAGAATGCAAGACCAGTTGCAGTTGACAAATAGGCGTGTGGGGCAGAGAATTGGACAAGGGCAATAATCAGAGTCAATGGGCCGCATTGGCCTATGCCTGCCAGGAGGGTCATGGCAATCTGTGCGTGACTCCATGATGGGGTTATGACAGAGTAGAGAATCGTCCTGGACAGAGATTGTCAGCCCAAAGTCATTGAGACAGAAGAAAATGAGATTCTTACACAACTAGGAAGACGATGAAAGTAAGCAGCAATGGAGACTTTAGATCCTTGTACTTAGTTGCATAAAACCTGTCCGGTCTCGTAAGTGACTCAACAGAAGGATGGAAGAGCTTCGAAGCACTCACATAACGGGAATGGAGATCGATATGGCAGGGAGGAGGAAGGCCAAAAGTCTGAGTGCTATGCTCCAGCTGTTATTCTCAAACCCAAGGTTCAATATTAGTTGTGGGGTCACGCTGTTGACTGCGCTATAGAAGATCCAGCCTTCCACAGTAAATGCGAAGGTGGCGAGAGCAAAATTGGGTGATCTTTCGAAAAAGACGTGGGCCACCAAGCCATCGGAACGGCCTTTCCATTCTGAAGGCTGTAGTCAGCACCTACTAAAGCTAATTAGAAAAGCAGGGAGAACCTTACCGTATAAGCAGAATAAAATCAAAAACGCAAACCCAATGGCGAGGAATCCAGCGACATGAGCATCACTCCAAGCGTAGGTTCCGCCTGCCCAGTCAAGAGCTAATAGGAGGAACAGGACAGAGATGATAAATAGAACACTCCCAATAGGGTCCAACGCCCAAATGTATCCTCGAATGGTCATTTTTGGGAAGTCTGAGTGGTGGAAGGGATGATAAAAGAGGAAAAACCCGAGGGAGCTGGCCAAGTGGAGAGCAGCCTGTATCCAAAAGATAGCTCGCCAGCCGCCAGACTTGGTGTTTGTCAGTGCTCCGGCACTTAAAACAGCAACGCTAGGAGAAGTTAGCAGAGTTTGGTCGACGGGGCGCAATCAGAGCAATTTACAGTCCACCAAGGGTGCCTGCTATATATCCGATACCAGTGGATAGAGGCCTATACTTCAAAGGAAGGACCTCACTGGGAATTGCTTGGACAATCCCATTCGTGCTGAGGGTGACACCGATCAAGATGCCACCACCAATCAGCATAGGCATGGAAGAAGCCTTAGCTGCAACGACAGCACCGGCAAAAGCAATCAAAGGCGGCACCGCTGCCAGGTATCTCCGGTCAAGAACGTCGCTGAGTCTGCCCACGATGGGAGTTAAGACACTCTGCATAAGCAAAGGTCCCTCTTTAGAAGAAGATTAAGTTAGCAAAGCTGTTCAATCCCGTAAGAGGTTGAGTTGCATACGGATAACCCATCCTGCCACAGGTCCATCGCCAAGGTCCCGGATGATAAAGGTGATGACAGTGCTAGCGGCGATGACCACATAAACTTGAGCCAAGGCAGCAAAAGCAGCGACAAAGACAACCAGCCATGAGCGCCAACTTAGGTTGATGGGCTCGATAGCATCCAAGTCTCCAACATGTTCAGCAGGAGGGTCAAAAGCGGAGTGATCAACCTGCTGCTGTCCTGGGTTATCGTTAGCCTCGATTGTTTCAGTTTGGGTGGTCTCCTTGGAATCCATGATCACAACAATCAGGTTGGGAGATTTTGGAAAAGTACGCTGAAGCTTGCGACCGGAAGTTAATATAGAGTCAAAGGTACTCTGAAAGTGGCATAAGGGTCTGCGGAAAATGCCCACTCTCTACGTTTGTATTTAAACCCATTCCTGGCGAAGATGCCCGATCATTGGAGCGTAGGTTTTCCCTTTCAAGGCTGGCTTTCTAAACGGGACGGAACACGGGTACATCAACTGATCGCAAAACAAGAAAAATTGAGGCTTGTTATACTCGGCAGTTGGCAAAAGCTTCGAATTTTCAGCACAGGGGAAAGTACGTGAACGCTCTAACATTGGGTTGCGAAGTGCAGAGGGCGGGCTCTCAGCAGGCTTTTAGTCTATCATTAGTACCACAACAACTGACAAGGTTGGTGCTTAGGGAAAGGGTTCACTTTATCTCCGGAGCCTTGTCTCGGTTGCGTCTTCTGCGCTCAGCGACACGTGTGGTTATACAAAATACAATGCTTCAGGCTCTTCTGAGGGGCCCGAAAACAGGTCTGGAACGGGACTTGACCAAACTAAAAATAGCTTGCCTACTTCTGGCCCATATTTCAGAAGGGGATTGATGGCGGCCTCGAGCTACATTGAGACACCACCACACGTGACTTCAAACCAATCATTCCTTCCAAAATCGTCACCTCATCGCACTCGTGACAATCACATTCTCTACAAGCTCTCTCGTATATAAAGACACCATCCGATAGGCTAAATTTAAGGTATAGCGCTTATCGATAAATGATACGGCGGAAATATCAGTACTGAGCCCATCAGCCAACCCTAACCTAGGTGACATGGCAGAACTAGCCAGGAATAATATACTTTAGGGGGGAAAATAGAGTTAGGTAGTTAGGTTAGGGCTTCCCCTAGAGGACAAAAGATAAGGGAGGAATTAAAGAGATCAAAATCCTTTTCTCCCTAAATAATAAGAACTAACTACAACCTCTTCCCCTAGAGGATAAAAATCCTATTCTCTTAAAGTATCTTATTACTAAGTTTCTTCCTCTAGAGAATAGATTATCTCCTTCTTATCCTTTTTTATTATAATATACTCTATTTATCTAAGTTATTTTATAAGAGAAGATATTAATAGATTATCTAAGTCTTAAGAGATCTTTCTATTTTATATATCTCTATTTCTAGTAAAGATCTAGTTATCTCTTAGGGGATAGAAATATATTCTTTTATCTATCTATTTCTTATTTCTTTATCCTTAAAGCTTTTTATATCTTACTATACTTTATCTATACTATCTTTCTATCTCGCCTTATTATTACGAGTCGCTTCACAATATGTGAGGTGTCAATAAGCAAACCTAACATTATTCCGGCATATGCGGGTAACCCCTACATATACTAAATCGCGCTAAGAAATAATCTAGGGTATCATCTACACGGGGTATCATCTACACACCTATAATATTCTTAGTTATTCCACTTCACTCCACTCCCCGGTCAGATCGCGAAGATTACTATACTACTATAGTATTATCGAAAGTCGTAAATATTATCTCAGGGGTTTACTCAGTATACCCGAAAGCCTATCTTAGCTCAATTTCGAGTCGTCATCTCCATCGCGCGAGTCGTTTATTAACAAAAGGGTATCGGGGACCGCTAAAAATAACCGGTCGCGGCCCGTACTATAGCTACGACCGCTCTCTAAGTACGGTATGGTTCTATATATCGAGCACTAATCGTACTTTACTCGCGGCAGTAATCTTCGAGAATACTTAAAGAGAAAGTACGCCTATCACGGCGTCCGAGCGAGAGAAATTAAGGCGTAGCTAGCGACGTAAAATATCGCCGCTAAGGTAATCTACCCGCCCGATAGTAGTCCGTTTATTCATAGGCTCTAGTTTTTCGAGGGCTAATGCTATAATATCGACTCTTATAAGGCTCGCTATATTAGTCGGTAGAATATATAACGACACTATAGTATAGAGTATAAGGTCGATAGCCGACGCCGGTAGGAGGAGAAGTAAATATATAAGAAAGTTATACTATAGTGGCTTTTCGCCTAAGCCTCGACTAAATAGTATTATATTATATAGAATGAGATCCCTAGCACCTCGAGGCGAGTAGTCCCTAGTACTCTCGGCGCCTCTAGCACTCCCATAACAGTACCTAGTATAGCTCGTGATAGTACTATCCACCGTGCTAGCTAGCCTAGCCGTAATATAGCCTAGTCTCTAGCCGCTCGTTTTAGTAGCGCTATTTAAGAGGATAAGGCTCGCTATTAATAGCTTAGCGAACCTAACTATATCTCTGAAATCACCCTATAACTTAGGAAGAGTCGTATATACTAGTACTTAGCTAGACTATCCGCTAAGATAATAGCTCAATTATATACCACGCCTAAGTCTAACGACGATAACCCGCGACTCTATAAGATTATTAGATCTATCGAGCGAATACTCTAAAAGGTATACGACTTAGTATTGGATTTACTCTATATCGATATATATATACTCAATATATTCTAGGCTAGCACTATCACCTAAGATCTATTCTAGATACTATAGAATAAGCTATTATTTTATAATTATATTACTATTTTTTAAGCGTTACTTTGTTACTATATCCGCGTCTTTGAAGGTCATTTTAATCGAGAGATATTTATCGTTACCGATACCTAGGCGGAATCTTTAACTTTAGTATTAAGCGTCTCTTAGAGATTAGCGGGACTACGGGCGAAGGACTCTAATAATCTCGCTAGCGAGGTTACTAGGGAAGATACCCACTCTGACGCCGAATCCGAGGAGTCGATCGATCCGCTATTACTTAAACTCGACTATTATCTCTTTATTTTCTATACTACGCTTATCTAGTATAAGGTGACTAAAGTATACGATAGCGCTATTATCTCGTTTCTCGCGGTACGATCCGCCATCACTAGCTACGAGGATAACACTATCATATTCCGTCCCGAGGTCTAGGTCGCCGGTTTACTAAGTAAATTAATCTACTATTATTAGCTTACTCTACTTTAAGACGCGCACTATATTCGAGAATTTCAACAACTCGATAATATAGAGGAGCTACTTCGAGAGCTCTATCAGTATTAGGTAGTTAATAATACCCGAGAGCCTATCAGTATGATAAGTGACTGACGGTTATATACGATACGAGTAGGCGGTGTTACTATTCCCGAAGTACTAGTAGTATAGGACGTCGACGGCTAGAATCTAACATACGGTAGTACTCGATATAGGATCGTTGATCTCGCGACCGAGATAAGTATCGCTCTCTAGGAGATAAAGCGTATCTTCCACGAGGAGCTCTATTTCGGCTTAGCTAATGTTCCTATATTTCCACTGCGCGAGCTTTAAGATAATTGGTCCAATAATTAGCCGGGATATAGCTTTATTGAAGATCCCCGGAACGCCGTCTACTTTGACGACTACTATAACTAGTTAATCTAATAGATCTCCTACCAGCCTAAATTACTAGATCTTATCTTCTATACGGAGTAATATAAATTCGACGCGACTAGTTCGTAGCCCGTTCGATCCGAGTTCGCCCGACAGTACGAGATCTTCGACGAGTAGTTTAAGGAGGCTAGAATAGTAACGCTCTATAAGGGGTCGGGATAGCCCGCCCGTCGAGTCGAGTTCTTAGGTATCCGTTAGCGGAATTCCGGGTTAGCCGTCCGTAATCTCCGGCTAATTTTTAAGTATTTATTGTTTATTCTTACTTATTATAAGGCCTAGACTCGTATCTACGCTTCTCGCTCGCCCGTTCGCTTTATCTTTCCCGAGGTCGCCTAGCTTCTTATATAGTACTTAGTTATCGTCTAGCCGTTCTATATCTTACTCTCTTAATAGTACTATATCCCCGAGTCGGTGGGTAACTATCTCTTCAACCGCGGTACCTAAACGTAGCCGGAGAAGCGGATAACCGACATACTCACGCGCTAGAGTCGCTAGAGTCTCAGACGAGCGATTTCGACCAAGGTCTAGCGCTAAATCGCGGTAGCGATCGCCGTTAAGTACTTTAGTAGACTTAAGTTTGAAGGGGATACCGATATTACGGGCGACGATAACGACGATCTAGACGAAACCACCGCCGTCGATAATATCTCGCTCCCGATATCATTCTACGCGTAGACCGCTTATAGTGGACGTACGGGTAATTATATCTACGACGGTCGGACTATCAACTTCGCCGGTTAGTTAACGGATACCGATATATAGGTATATCTCTAGACTAGTCGACTTTAGTAGATACTCTTTGAGCGGGAGGTTCGTTATCTACCCGCTAGTAAGCGTATCCGTCCCGGTTCTCTCCACGATTCCCGTGGATTAATATCGTTACTCGTCCGTAAGCTCGTATATCGTACCTAGACTCGCTATTATATTATATAGAGTACCGAGGATATACGGATTACATTACGGTAACTCTTCCGAGATCCCTAGGGTTAGGGTTAGGGTTAGGGTTAGGGTTAGGGTTAGGGTTAGGGTTAGGGTTAGGGTTAGGGTTAGGGTTAGGGTTAGGGTTAGGGTTAGGGTTAGG